TAATAGGGAAGGTATACAAGGGATGCAATGCACGGGGACACCCCCATCCTTGCTATAGGGACCCCACAGGCAGAACAGGTAGGATGCTGCCCTAGGTTCAGGGGAGATTTTCAAAGTAATGGACTTTTTTCTTTCATGTCTCTTAAAAAAAGTTACAGTGGCCATTTTGGGCTCCTTTTGAGCTTTGCAACTGAGAAAATGTTGAGAAAGAAATTTTTAAAGTGTCAAAGGCTCCACCCCTGGGAGCCCCCTTCTCTGGTTTCTGGGCCTGATCACCCTGGCAACCAAGTGGGGTGCCCTCTCTTGGCATTTGACTCGTTAAGCATTTTAGATGCCTACTGAGTCAGTTATGAAGATAGGAGACCTGTGATTTATTCTGTGAACTGTCCTGCCAGTGTTGTGTGCCCCGGCACGGAAACTGTTGTGTGACCCTTATCTCGATAACCCTTGGGGAAGAGGCCATGAGAGCGAGGGATGATCTCTTTTCCTTTCAGTCTGTCACCTCCTCTCTTGTCACCAAGTTGAAGTTAAGTTCAGGCTGGACCTGAGCAGAACCTGGACCTTCTGTACTTAACTCTCAACCCCAGGCAAAGGGAGTCTCAGCCCCCAGCCAGCTCCAGGCCTTTGATTCCTGCCTCCCTGCCTTGCCTTGTGCTGGCTCAGGGACTAAGTGCCCAGGTTAAGTGGGACTTAACTAGATCTTATAACTATGTTGATGCCTGCAGTCAGGCACATTTGCACACTTTCTCTGGCCACTGTCAGTTAGACACCAGCTTTACTGCCATGGGGAATGCCTCAAGCATCCCCAGAGACTCACCCCCTGGGTGCATTTTAACTAGTTGGAAACGCCTTCAACTGGATGGTTTATGTCCCAGAAACTCCATCTAAAAAAAAAAAAAAAAACAGCTTGAGTGGTTTCTCTGTGCTGTTGTGATGACGTTAATTCCCAGGACCAAAAAAAAAAAAAGGGGGGGGAGGGAGGGGAGACCATAAACGTGCCATTGCCAAAAAGAAAAAAAATCTAGCATCTTGAGTGTCTTCTCCACAAATATTAGTAAAAAGGCTCAAAACAAAATTTGGATTTATAACTAGGGAGCTTTATATTATTGTACCTGATTCATGGCAGTCATTTTTAAAACAATAGGTGTGAAGGCTCTGTGCATGTGTGTCTATATGTATCTTAGATGTGTGTGATATGTTTACCCCTGGATGGTATGGCCAAAACTAAGAGCTCTGTTTAATTGGCTTAAAGTAAGTGCTTACATAAATTCTAAATGTAATAGAAATTAACCCAATGTCTTTTAAGTTAAGATGATATAGATTAATCTTTGGTTAATGAAAGTTTAAGTTTGTTGGTTTGATTGAAAAGGCATGTCCTGAACAGTTGGCAGTATTTGGATATGATGCAAACATCCAGCCTGGGTTTACTAGTTTAAAAAGAAGAAAAAAACTCATGCTATCCCTGTTACAAATTTGTCAGCATAATAACTTTAAATGATAGCTAATTTTGTCTAATGTCTCATGAAGTTTTATAGGCAATCTAAATAAGTATTGGGAATGAGTAAACAAAATACATGTGAAAAAGCTAAAAGTATTGGGTAAACTTTTAAAAATAATTACGTCTTATGACATGTATACTTAACTTCCAAAATCTTTTTGGTAATGAAACTTTGAAGTTTTGCTAGGTTAATTTAAATGAATGATGAAATTCGTTGATTACCTAGATCATTTCCAAATAAGATATTAGACATTAATTATCAAATGTAAGTTTATCTACTTTTGGCTTCTTATTGCAAAGAGGCTAAAAGTGTTTGGGCCTATTAGAAAGTATGCCTTGTTTTTTATTGTGGAGTGGCATGTTTCTAGAAATTAGGAAAAGTGTTTGGAATGTTGATATAAAAGACAGCTCATAATTGCTTAGTTTTTAGTTTTTACTAGGGTCTGTAAGGGTTAAAGTTCTATTTAACATATGTAATTAAAGCTACTGGAAATTAATAAGGAAAACAGCTCTGTATTCAAGGAAAGTAAAATATATGTTTTCAGTAAAGAAGGTATAAAGAAAGGAAGTATTTTTGTTTGTTGGGGTAAGAAAGATAAATTTGTCCTAAAGTACTAGAAAGGAAAAAAGGAAAGCATGGAATAAATTCTGAATGCAGAAGAAAGTTATAGAAGGTTTGTGAAAGAAATTCTGAAAAGACTTTTGTACATGATCAAGCTGGCTAAGATTAAAATGAACCTAATTAAATAAATGGGTTTTAATACGAAAAAGTAAACTGGTACAAAAATTAGAATTTCTTTTTCTTTCTCAAAAGAATAATTTTCTTGAACTTTTGGCCTGCTCTAAGTCTACCTAAAAGACAGAATCTGGTTTGTTAAAATAATTTCTTATGTTCAGAAAGGAAGCGGTCTCAAGATTTTGACTGTTTTAACTATTTACCCTTGACTATTTCTGTTGTCATTTTGAGTATATACCTGAGCACTGTTTCACAGTGAGCGTTGTTTCCTATCTGAACAAGTGTTTAAAACCTTTTGATATTTTTGACAAGCTTCTTCCTCAAAAATATTCAAATCCTGAATAAAGACTTTCTTTTGTCCTGGACGAAGGAGTAGGATTACTCTGGGGATTTTCAGAGGGTGCCTGGGACTTCACAGAGAAATTTGCTCTCTCTTCCTATAAGGTGGAAAATTCTAGACTAATGAGGCTTATTTGGTATGTTAAATTACATGAGAAGTATTGTCAGATAAGTGATGATAATCTTTCTTGGGTAGTATTATGTGGGTAAATGTTACTGATATAAATGTTTTAAAATTATATAACATTCCTAAAATTCTGATCTGTCCTGGTTGTCAGCCATAATTCTAATTATTATTTTAAGGTGTTGTATATCCAAAAATAACCAAGTTTCTCTGTCAACTGTCATTTTTAAGTCTTTTGTTATTTACAGTCAGATGTTTTACTCTGATGCTTTTTGCTTTTGCAAATATGTCTTATCTTCAGAGGGATTCATGGAAAGGAGTCTGACACTTACTCTGGAATACAGGTTTCTGGTAAACTTTCAGATCATAAAACTGAACTGGGTAAGAAATTACAGAAATCTAATGGAGAAACTGATGACCTCATAAAACTTCTAACAGAAGATCAAGATCAAGAACTGATTATACAGGACTGTGTGAACTTATGAGACTGATTATAATTTTTTATGACTTTTATTTGAAATATTGTTGATTTTTTGGATGTTTTTCTTTGTTTTCTCAGATTTAAGGAAATCTTTTTCTCTTTTCTCTTGTGCTAACTATGACTTATTATAGCAATTTGGTGAAATTATACCTTCATGAGCAGAACTGAAACATTTATCTTTTTCTCCCTACCTGATCCCTCCAGAATTTGGAAACCTAGTACGTGAGTGAGTATGGTTATTTCATGGCAATATAGTTATTTGCATAAGTTCAATAAGAATCTGCTCTCCTTATAACAGGAAACATTGGTTATCTTACCAAAAGCTTTGACTGGAATGTCATATTTGAGAGAAACTTACAGACTCGGATATGACAATCCTGCCTTATTTTGTTGAGGCACTTTCCTTTTATATCCATTTTATGAGAGTTTTTATCGTAAGTGGAAGCTGAATCTTGTAAAATGCTTTTTTTGCATCTATTGAGATGGTCATATAATTTTTATTCTTCATTTTGTTAATGTAGTGTAAACAAGGTACCAGGCCCATATTTCCAAGTGGCTTTATTTCCAGAAAGTCAACCCTCTTCCTCAAAGGCAGTATTGTCATATCTGAGTCTGTATCATGCTGATCGATTTGCAGATGTTGAACCATCCTTACATCCCCAGAATAAATCCCATTTGGTTGTGGTGTATGATCCTTTTAATGTGTTATTGGATTCAGTTTGCTAATATTTTGTTGAGGATTTTTGTATCTGTGTTCATCAGAGGTACTGGCCTGTAATTTTTTGTGTGTGTGTTCTCCTTGTATGGTTTTGATATTAGGATAATGTTGGCTTCATAAAATGAGTTACGAAACGTCCTCTCCTCTTCAGTTTTTTTGGAAGAGTTTAAGAAGGATAGCTATTAAATCTTCTTTGAATGTTTGGTCAAATTCACCAGTGTACTCTAGCCTGGACTTTTGTTTTTGGGGAGCTTTTTGATTACTGTTTCAATCTCCTTATTAGTGATCAGTCTATTCAGATTTTCTATTTCTTCTTGATTCAGTTTTGAAAGGTTATATGATTCTAAGAATTTATCCATTTCTTTTGGTTATCTAATTTGTTGGTGTTTACCTTTTCTCTATAGAATTTTCCTATAATCCTTTGTATTTCCATGGTATCTATTGTAATTTCTCCTCTTTCACTTCTGTCTTAATCTCCTTTTTGACCTAGAATACCTTCTTAAAGACTTTGGAATTATAAAATCTCAACAATATTAGAACATGACCTTAAAATACACATTTAATTAAAACACACATTTTTAAACAGAAAATATTGCATTCCCTACGCATAGTAATAATTATAAAATCTACATTGGTGGTATAAGAGTATCATAAAAGTCCTTTGAAGCTTTCAGTAATGATTGGACTATCTACATTTGAAAGTCAATTTTTTTTAACATAGCATATTTTTCATACAAATGAAACATTTATCGCTTTGGGGGAATTCAAACACACAAATACTATTATGGAACTACTGATCAGCATATTATCTCTCTTTATGTCAATCTTCTCGGAACAATATGACTTACACATATATGAATGGAACCAAATGTGAATAAAAATGAATAATTATGAACATTATTTCTCTTCTTCAGATTCATAATTTATTGGAGCTTTTGTTACTTTAGAAAAACAAAAATCCCTGAAAGAAGATGCTTTGCTATTTTTAAACTTCTTATACACACATGTCATGATTAAGGATTGACTTGTCATCAATTTATACTGTAAACTGTTAAAGTATCTTATCATAACATTAATTTAGGTATAAGTCATTTTACCGTCCATTCAAGAGCAGAAATGTCTGACCACAAAGCAGATGGACCTAGTATTTTGCTGAAGTCCAACAACTATTCAGTCAATCAATTTGCTCTCCTGATAGTTAACTTGCCCAAGAAGGCTGTAAAATATTCATTTCACTCCCTTAAAGTCATTCACAAGAGACTGAAGGTTTATATGTCCTACTTCAAGAGGGAGCCTTGGCATTTACCTACCTGATGTGGAGAGAGAAGAGGACTTTTGGTGACTGGATAGTAAACCTTAGGTACATAAAAGGAAACTATTTGTTAGGTCAACAAAATGCATCATGACTAGAAAGCTCATTATCTGCAGGGTTTTGTTCTCTTGCTTCCATTTTTTGTAGTTTGAGCCTCTTGTGCTGCCATCCACTGAATTCCCATAAATGGAACTGAACCATATTGGTACTGCCATCAAGGACTGGCATGGACGACCTGGAAAATGCAAGTGGTTGATGGGTATGTAGAATGAGGGGTATGTGCCTTCAGGGAAAATAAAACTGTCTGTTATAAGTCAGGTCCTAACTCATAATTAAATGATGTTTTCTGACCACTTCAATTTTAGCCAATATTTTCCATACTCCATGTATATTGCACATTTTTTCTTCCTAACTATGTTCCTGAGGCCCAATCGTTTAGAGTTCTGTTCTTTTGAATTATGATATTGAACAGCAAGGGGAGGAATAAGAATTTTCTATTTCACTAGAGGGCACTGGTTATACAATTACTGACATGAAAATAAACTACTTCTCAATACTTTAGAACTTGAATGTAGTAAATAAAACCATCAATGTGATTTATGTCTAGATCTTCAAAGATAGATTTCTACTAGAAGCCTTAAAGTTTTATCTTGGTTTTAGTGAGAAATGGAATTTTTAGACCATTAGCTTGGAACTATTGTAAGGCTTCAATGATCTGCCAACAACATCACAAAGCAGTGGGGCACCTTAGTGCTCTCTAACCACTCAGAAGGAAGGAGAGAAGGAAGAACAGACAAAAATGATAGAAGGAAGGAAGAGAGTGAGGAAGAAGGGGACAGGGGAAGAGAAGAAGGGAGACAGGGTCAACATGTCAAAGCAGCTCCATTCTCTAACCTACGGGTTTAATATTGAGCTTGCATAAATTCACAGAATTATCACAGAGTATAAGCTTCCCTAAGTTTACATCTGATAGGGCAGAAGTGTTCTTTCTCTTCTGTGTACTTTTCCAGGTAGGAACAGCACAGCTCATCATGCAGCTGCTCAAGTCCAGTTCCACAGAATATGATGCTACCAGATCAGCTGTCCCTAGGGCAAAGACAGAACTTCTGGAATTTAAGAATTGTCCCAATTTCAAAGCATCTGATCTCTGTTCTTGCATTTCTTTCCCCTTTCCAAGTACAGTTAAGTTCAATGATAGAGCCCAGTGGCCTCATCCACAATAAGCTGACTCTTCGAAGTTCCAAATGGGAAGATGAGATCAAGCATGTTCATTCTGGATTTTTCTTGATGGGAGAATAGCTAAAATTTGGGAGAAAATTTAGATTCGTATTCAGAGAAGTGAAGTGTGTACTGAACGTGATCAATAAAGTATTGTCTAAAGAAGCTTTAATATTAAGCTCAGGAGCCCATCTGGGTCTTTCAGGCCAATGAGGAATTGAGTTTACTGGAAATTTTGAGAAATGAATACTCCCCCTCCAAAATTCCATTATACTTGAAAGTTAACAGCCTAAAACTATTGCACATTTCAAGCTGTTTGCTGAGTCTGGAAGCTTTGTGATTCAGATTAATCCCGTGGTGACTGCCTCCACCCCCATTGTTTTCTTTATTAAGAAGCAAAGATCCCCATATGTCTCTATGTGAGACAGAATGACTCAGGTGTTTTATATTTAATGCACCCTTGGATAGCTGCTTTAGATTTTATATGCTGGTACAAGAGCACAGCAATCGACTGTGACACCGTCTGTTGATGAAATGTAGAGAACGGCCCTTGAGACAGAGTTTTATGTTCTAGTTGAAAATATGCAGAAAATCTGAATCTGCTCAATGCTATTATTTGCCAATATCTCTCAAATGGACTCGGTTCCAGCGTTAAATCTAATCAAATAATGGAAGTGATGAGACTGCTCCATCACTGTAGAGGTCAGACGCAAGATGCTCATCCTCTAATACTCCTCAGCAACCAGCAACGTATTTATAAGAACTTATGGTCAGCACTGAAAGGAAGACTATGTGAGAGAATTTCCATTTTTCAAAGATGAGGTCTGCCAACATTACCTACAATCACATTCTTTTCTCTATAGACTATGACTTTAATACATGTATGGGAACTTTGTCTGAGGTATGTTGTTTGTACAGGCCTCCAAATCTCAGTCCAGAAAGTTGGAGTGAGAAAAGAGTAGTCACCCAGTTTCATTTTCATACATGATTTTTTTTTTTTTTGAGGAAGATTAGCCCTGAGCTAACTACTGCCAGTCCTCCTCTTTTTGCTGAGGAAGACTGGCCCAGAGCTAGCATCCATGCCCATCTTCCTCCACTCTATATGTGGGATGCCTACCACAGCATGGCTTTTGCCAGGCGGTGCCATGTCTGTACCCGGGATCCGAACCGGCGAACCCCTGGCCACTGAGAAGCTGAATGTGTGAACTTAACTGCTGTGCCAATGGGCCAGCCTCCATACATGAATTTTTTAATTCTAATTATCAGTGAGTTTTAGCACCATTCACCTAGTCAAAAGGTTTGATTCTCCATTGATACCTTCTGAAACTCATTCTCCATTCATATCTTTAAAATTCCATGGTCAACAGGTCCTATAGACTCCACCTTCTAAATGTTTATTTCTGTCTCTTCTATTAATTTCTTAATGGAATCTCAATAGCTCTGCCTGCATTACAGTACTAGATTCATAATTAATCACCTGCACCCAGGGCCCCCTCTCCCTCATCAATTACCTATAAAACTCTTGTCCAAACTGGAGTTGAGGTAAACAATTGCACCGGACAAAGTTAAACAGTCAAGGAAGATTTTAGTCTAGACTACTGCAATAGGGAAGACAGACCGAACTCAATTCTGGTGAAACCAAAGGCTGGAGAGTTTTTAGGAGATAGGATGGGAGGAATTGTATGCCACCCTGACACTCCTGTTTGCTTATTGTTCTTACCCAAAAGAAAAGTAAACTTTCTCCTGTCTTTGTGAAAGGAGGTAGCTTTCCAACTTGGAACAAGTAGCCCGTGCAAGTTAGGCTCCTACATCCCACGGCACCTGGGAGACAGAGGAGGTGTCTTCCTGGATGATTACATTGCAAAGACATGGCACTCAGGTCCTTGGGAAAGACATTCCCTGGGTTGTAAAACTGGCAAGAGGCTTTTAAGATAATTTACATACATTTGAAAGGGACAGAAAGAGAATTTGCAATTACAAGTTTTCTAAAGTAAATGTTCTAAGAAAAGGGAGGTCAGGGACCTATAGACAGGAAGAAATCCACCTAATGTTTAGACAATCTGAAGGGAACTTTAAGGCCATCTTGGTCACTGGAAGCAGGGAGATCTTTCTAAAATGCAAATATGGACATATCTGTTACCTGCTTAAGAATCTTTGCTTCCTGTTCTCGTATAGGATACAACGGAAATTCCTAACTTGTCCTGTAAGAAAATTTTCATCATCTGATGCCCTAACTACTTTTCTGTGCCTCTGTGCTTTAGACAAATTGGAGTATTTCTAAATTTCTAAATATAAGGAATCTTTCTTGGCTCTGTGCCTTCATGCCATGGCACATGCTGTTCTTTCTATTGAGGATACTTTTCCCTGCATTGTTCGCCTACCCAACTCACAGTCCTTGTTTTGTTACTGCCTCTGTGAAGCCTATCCCACATGAAGCTATTTACTCCTCCCCGACCACATTGCAACGTTTACATATGTAGGGGAGGAGGACATTTTCTCTCCCCAAATGTGAGTTCGTCTGGCTGGAGAACAAATTAAATTCACGTGAGACAGAATAGCAAGAGAAAGTTAAACAAAGCTTTATGAGGAACCATGGCCAGGGGCCTTTCTTCCCGAAGGAAGAAAGGGCACTGAAGAAGTGGGGTGCACATAGTGGTTATATACCCCCAAACAGGGTGTTTCACATGTGATTGAAATGTCCCTCCCACAATAGTCACAAGATTGCCCTGTCACACAGCGCTTGATAGACACAGCAGGTAATGGTCTGCTATCTCAGTGGGCTAGCAGGAGGCAAGTCGATTGTCTGGAGCTGGGCTGTCACAGGTGAGCGCAGCAATCAGTTCCTAGACTAAGGAAAGATGCTTAATCCTTAAGAAATGCCAGCGTTGGGAGGGGGAGGGAAGTTAGTTACAGGAGGTTACCAGACTAGCACAATAAAATGCAGATTTTAAGTCCTTGCCTTTGGTATTGACTAAGATTTTCTAGAGAGAAGGTCATCATCTCCTTTCTTCTTCCTGGTACAGAGAGGGAGGCACATTTTACAGATAGAGATTTACCTTACAAATGTAAACGTGTCCTAACAAAGGGCAAGTTCCATTCCTCCTTCCCTGTCCCAGTTTATCAAAAGCAATCAGCCTCAAATAATCCTGATGCCAAAGAGACATATCTTGGGGTGGCCAATTCCAGGTCCCCACACATAATTCTAGCACAGGTTATAAAGTTGTATTGTCATGGGGTGTTTCTGAGTCGTCTCTTGGGGGTTGGAGCAGGAAAAGGTAGAAATTGCATATTTTTCATATTATCTTCCCAGCAACCATCATAGTGCCAATTATCTTCAAAGTAATCCTTAATATTTTTTAACTAAATTAAAGATGCAGTTCTTAGAAATAATACCAGGACCTACAAATGGAGCTCTTAAATGATCTCAATGGTAACAAGTCACCATCTTTTGATAATACAATTTTTAAAAATAATAATCAAATGTAATGTGGGACTATTTGAATAAAGAACATGATTAAGCCAATTTTTAAAAATCTGTAATAAATATTTTTTCCTGTGATTTTTAAAATGAGCTCTTAAGTCTTTAAGCAAAAAGCATTTCATTTAAATGAGGACCTAGGTCCAAGGACTTGCAAAGACAACACTGATTTAGATAAATGAGATTGATAATGTTTGTTAACAAATTAGTCTCAGTACTCTGTGTTTGCACAGCAGCTCTGGGTAGGGTAGGGCTATGTCCCATGTGAGTTCTTAGTAAGTACATGTTGACTAAATATTTTGGAATATCTCATTGTTTAAGACATCACAGCAAAATAGGGATTAAATCCCCTGGCTTAAAATGTTTAACACATTTGCAGCACTGTGAAATCATGCTCCATGCGATAATGAATCCGTTAGTCAGGCTTCCTGTAACGCTCTGACGCTTCCCCACTGAACAGATGCCTTACACCTGCTAGTGAAAGAACTTCGCTCACTAAGTGTTCTTAGTTCAATTTAAAGTTGGGTTCATATCTGTGAACATGAATTATTTAAATCCCAAAA